GAGCTTGTAAAGCCAGGCACAGATGGCAGTAAATCATCCTCTAAGAAATGGGCTCATATATCTGGCAGATGAACAGTCCTGTATTCCATTGCTATGAGGTATGGAAACCGTATGGTGAAATCTCCATTACTCATTTTCTCTGCTCTAAACACTTCACTATATTAAAGGCAAGCCTATAAGAAGGATGAGCACAATACAGGCACATACACATCATAACAGAACCCTGGACTAGAATATGCTGTACATTTAAGAGGAACAGTGTCTAACAAGTTCTTCATTTTAGGGGATGAGAAAGACTACTACAAATAAAAACACCTTCCCAACTTGGATATTACATCACACTGAGCATTTTCCCCAAGTTTCCAGCTCTGAACAAATCTTATATCTGTTTTTCATTCTTGCTTTCCACAAATGTGTCTGGGTCTTCGTTCTGCCATGACAGCTCTTGTTTTGCTAATGCAGTTTTATTATAGAATGCTTGATTGCTGCAGTTATATGTCAATTAGTATGCAAGCCACCCCAGGAACAGAATCTCATCTGAGAGGCTTCATCAAGAAACATCCCCTAGTGGACTCCTTTATAACAAATAAAAATCATTCACGATATCTCAATTCACAATTGTTTCCAAAATAAAGATGTATGATTTAAAATAAAGTTAAACTCCCAGGTCCTCCTGCACAGGACTATGACTGACACTGTTGCTATTTTAGATCCCCAAAGAAAAAAAGCTGTCTGTGTTACACACTTAAATATTATTGCCCACAGCATCATTATATAATAGTAACCTGTATTTTTATTTATTTTATGTACTGAAATTCAAGTCTACACTGTCAAAGGAAAATTTTAGAGAACAGTTGCACTGCTTAGCTAAATATTTAGACTGAGTACACAACTAATATATTTTACATCTCTTTCCCACAATCATTTCTCCAACAGGAACAAGTTCAAAGGCAATGTTCCAAGGCACAATTATCTTGGAAATTCATTGGATTTTTTTAGGATTACTTCCAGAGATACACATAGGTGAAGAAATTAATATTTTCATACTCATAGAAAGGCAGCAGGTTCATTATCACTTCATAGGTCTCTAAAGACAAGACCCTTAATATTTCAAGATACTTTCAGTCTTCTATTCTTCTTCCCATAACACATACAGAACTTACTGACCCTTCTTTTCCTTAGGAATTTCTGTAACCTTCCACCAGTGAAAGATTTTCTCCATCTAAAAGATTCCAAGCAAATCTATGATTCAGAAAACTTTCCCAGGCCATCTTGGGTTATTAGTTGGTAATCTGCCTAAAAAAGGCACACTTAGCCTAGCATTTGTAACACCATAAGATTTAAAATTAAGATCTGTATCTTGCATAGAAAATACAACATTTCCAGAAATTTTGAAAAGACAAAGAATTGTGTCTCTTTTGTAGGAATATTTCCACAAACAGGCCAATTCTTTCAAAACTATTTTATTTTTTCTTTTTAAATGGAAATATTTCATAATATTCCATACTTTTTAAGTTTTCATTAAAAACAAAACAAAACAAAACCAAAGCCTATTTTTTCAGTCTTTCTTCTAGTCTTGCTTGACAGCCAATCAAATACAAATGTTCCAATCTTGGGCTTGCCAGTTGCTATTGATACATTTAGCAAGGTACCCCACAACCCAAATTACAACAGAAGAGACAATGATGTAGATGTGACAAGCAAACAGCTGAGAAACTGGGGAGAAGTAATCAGAATTACATTCTTTTGAATTCCAGAAGCAGACTTTCCAGCCTTACGGAAGATTCCCAAGATAGCTTTTTAATTAAAACTATTTAAAAAAACATGGTTACCAAAATAACACAGATGTACTGTGCAATCTCATGAATACATGCTCATACTCATTGTTTCAATTGCCATCTAGGACTGCAGTTGTATGTAAACATTTTTTTAAAAAAAAATGCCTAAACCTCGCTAACATTAGCAACAGTATTAATACTGAAAACTATAGAAACAAAAGCAAACATTATAATCCAGCAAAAGAGTGAACAAACAGCACAGTTTTCAAGTGGTGCTTTAAAACTAATCTACCTAGTGAGAAGGTCTGAACAGAGAATATCTGAAAGCTAAGCAAAGGTTTTGCCCAGACCTAAATGGACCTGGCAAAATGCCTCTGATGAAAATCTGTAGGGTCAAGCAGGCTCATGTGAAAGTAGGTAGTCTTTTAGATACTCTGTTAATTATAGTAGAATGCAGAATGAATATCCCTTGAGTGAGAGTGTAATAACCTTGATAAAACTCTCATTTAGCTCTTAGGTGACTAGGAAATTGGATATTTGCATATGTGCTCTGGCTATTTGCTCTTCGGTGAACAAATCATCAGATAACATTATGCCAACTAAAGGCATAAAAGCAGTACTCTCACATCCTCACTAGAGAATTACATCACAATCATCATGATTACTGAAGTAATTTGGAAGGATTTCCAGTGGGAAAAGAATGAAAGTAGGCAACATAATGAGATCAAATGTGAAGACAAGCCAGAAATGACAACGCTATCAAAAACTCAATTTCTCAAAACTTTTGACTTTGCATATTAACTTTATCAAAACTAGCAAATCAACGTGAAGACCTTTAAGCAACTGAAAATATAAAAAGTTCTGTTGGGCACATATACAATAGGATTCTGCACAACATCAGAGTGGCAGATTGCATATTCAATCCGGGTCTCCCACCATTATTTCTAAAATTTAAATGCCAAGGTCTGTGCAGATTGAATCAGTTACACATTTTCACCAAACATTTCCTCTACATGTATTTATCCCTCAACTAAACACACTGGCAAGGGGATGGAGCTGTAAAGGAAAGATGGAGCAGAGTTTAGCATTCCATCATCTACATATCCTTTCAAAAATTTCGCTCACATTATCATCCTTCATTTTACCTCCACAGATTCATGTAAGTATGGAATTTAATGGACTGGAGTCTACCTATTTATTTTATAAAAATATTTCTAATCTGTCCTATATTAATAAGTCTCAGGGCAGGATACAATCAATAACATAAAACAACCCAAAAACAATAGTAGCTTATGGGCCACACCAGAAAAGCAAAATTCCATAATAAAATATACATGAAATACTGAATTAAGACTTAACTATGGTCATTAAGGTTAAAAAAAAAGGGGGGGGAGTGAAAACCCAGGTTTTTGCCTAGAGGCTGCAATAAAGCCAATATTGGCACCAGATTAGTCTCCAGATCTGGACATTGTATCTGAAAATCTTCATATAATATGCTTCTCTCAATGATAGGATAGAAAGGAGAGTTTCTAAGGGAAATCTTAACATTCATACAGTCAGAGAAAAATATTCCCTCACTACTGTTCAAAGGTTGTAAACATCCTAACACTTTAAAATTAGTCTACAAGTTTAAGGGCATATTGTGTAGTCATTTAAAAAGTGACATTTCTGAATGATATTCCAACAACAATTTAGTTGTCATTAGAACTGGGCTAGTCTTTTCTTTGTTTGATTTAGAACAGACTCATAGTAGGCTTAAGCCTGATTTAGATCAGAACTAGAGTAAGTTCAGATCCATTTTTAGTTGAGGTCCACTGTGCTCCCTGTAGCATCCTGGGAACACCATCACACTCTACAATAACATTCAAATCCAAAACTGACTGAAATATGAAGCAGCTTGAGACGATTTCTCAATCTCAGTCCAGTATTTGTTGGCCTTATAACTACCACTGAAATCAGGAAGCCTGGAAACTTTTTCTCCTGTAATGCCATAGATTGAAGAATATAGTCATCCATTAGCATGGCACTCTAGGCTTCTGTCCTAAAACTATGGCCCTTCTCAAGTTTTTTTTGTTTTCCCCTACTACCATTTTGCTAATCACAGTAAGTCTAGGGTTGTTTGTTAAAAAACAAGTAACACAGCAACAAAAGAGGTCAGGGCAGAATAAATATTTCATTCACAAAATATGTGATGGAAGAGCAGAATATGTATATTTTTTGTCAGATTCTATCACCCTATTTGAAATATGAGCTTTGCCACTAATTAAGTCTATCACTGTTACCTATTTTTTGTCTAAAGAATGATAGATGCAATTTTTCCCAACCTGATGCCCTCAAAATGAGCTGGAGTAGAATTTCCATCTTCCTTTAAAACACATTTTCCAACCTATTTGGAAAAATGTCCCCCAACTTGGTATCTTTCAGATGCTGGATAACAATTCCAATAATATCTAGCCAACATGGTAAATGGTCAAACTATCTGGAGATGATGAGAGTAGAGTGAAGGTCATCAGGAAGACATCAGGTAAGAAATGTCTGTTTCAGAAAGATTAATATTGGACATCAGCTAAACAAAATAAATACCCAGCAGAGATGACCTCATATAAAATGACTGCAAACCTAGTGATTAAACTACTGAAGTATTTTGCATATGGGCATTTTAAAAAATTTGTAGGAAGCTAAATAAGCACAATTGCAATATTATTCTGAAGACAAAATAAATCTGAAAATCTTTGTCTTATAATGATACAGAGTACAAGAGATATAAGGGTTTGTTTTTATTACAGAATGTCACGATTCTGGAGCAGCTCATGGGCCCAAGTTTAAAGTTTTCTTCTCTAAAGAATGGAGCAAAAGACATCCAGGCATAAAACATGGAACAAGGCTTTGCTCTCGAAGAGTTTTATATTTATATGTAGGAAATCAATTTGTATCACCAGTCATATCGTTCAAATCAGATGACACTGTGTGGTTAGAAGGTAATTTACTTGGCTGCTGAAGCAATTTGATAGTTGTTCTGATTTGTGATTTTCATTTTGTTTGTTAATGAAAAAAATTAATGAGCAATGTTACTGGAAGTACAACTCCAAGCACCAGCATTATTAAACATGCTTTCAATATACTGTACATTATGTTGATTGCACTGCCAGAGCCTGAACCTTTGCTACACAAACCAGTCAATCAAACTGATGTGGAATTTTCAAGGAGGACTTTTGCACTTACCTTTGCACTGATTTGTGTTTTTGTCTAGGATTGCTTTTGTAGATACAATTTTTCCATACCTAAAAAACAAAAGGGGAAAAAAATTATATATTTTTTTCTTTATGTTATTGTAGTTTCAATCTTATTCAGTTATCTAACACAATTAAGACACAGAAGTAGATTTTACTGCTGACAAAAAGTGCGACATTAAAAGCACAGAATGCAAACTCTATGGTTATGCCCAGCTTGCTACATTTCTGTATTTCTGGTCTGACTTTCCAACACTACCTTTCTTGGGTGGCTAATTCTGTCAGTTACTTATTTGATTGTCAACAAAGAAATCAAACTGGCTGAAAGCTTTTGGAGTTTGAACTAATATGTTCAGATTATGTTGAGAGTCAGGTAAAAGTGAGATGGGCAGCTATATAAATTGAATGAAAGAATGAATGAATTATACAAGATTAATCAGGGACTCTTGTTTGTTTAAATCAAAGAATTCTGTTCTCTTAAAAGCTGGCCCTGAAGAAGAAGAGCATAAAGAAACCATTTGGTAGACAGCCAGAAAGGAGGCATGCATTTAAGTAATTATTTAGTAATAAGGGGGAAAAATGAGCAAGAGAGAATGACAACGTTATAGAGACTGAACAAATAATCTCTTAGAATTTTTGTTTTTTTATTTAGAAGAGACTTGGAAGAAGACTTGGAGCGAATCTGATCTAACATGGATAAAAGCCCATATTAGGGATTACCTCATGGTGATAAGGGTGACAAAATATCAATATTACTCCACCTTTATTGTATCTGCTGATAGCTGCCCAGCAGCCCTTTTCAGGGTGACCCAGCCCCTGCTAGGTAGGGACGGCCCACAGGACCATCTGCAGGGCCATATGAGGAATATTTGGGCTATTTGGCTGATAAAATTGCTCAAATACACACCAAGCTGAACTCTAATTGGAAAGTTCCAGCCAAAGTGCTGGAGGGTGGCAAAATCTGGGTGATTTTAAGGAACTGGATATTTTCTCTGCAACGTTAGTCTGACCACCTGTTTGTTGGATCCAGGCCTGTAGTTGGGCCCAGGAGGTGGTGTTGGCCTCTTTGAGAGAGAGGGGAGTGCCTTCTGCCTTGAAGGAGGTACTGGCAAACTCTATCCTCAAAAGACTATCCTTGGATACAACTATTTCGACAACTGCCCTGACTCCAACCTTCCTTTTTCAGGGAAGTTTGCTGAGAAGCTAGTCAGATTGCAGCTGCAGAAAAAAGTGGATTATCTAGACCTGTTTCAGCCAGGTTTCAGGCTGGGATTCAATACAGAACAGCCTTGGTCACGCTTGTTGATAATCTATAGCAGAGCCAGGGTAGGGGTGGTGCATCTATCCTTGTACTCCTTGATCTCTCATCAGCTTTCAATACTGTATCCTTCTGGACTGGCTTTGGGGGTTGAGAATTGGAGACACCATACTGTGGTGGGTCTCTTCCTTCAAGGATCATTCTAGTCAGTGTTGGTGGTGGGAGTAGAGGTTGCTCCCTAGACCTCTCCCTTGTAGGGTGCCACTAGATTTGACACTCTCTCTCTTGTTCAATATCTACATGAAACTGCTGGATGAAGCTAAATACATGTTTCAACCTCAGGCTGGCCAAGTGACACTGTTGAAGCCCTGGTCCAGTGCCTGCAGGCTGTGAATGGGGAGAAACCGACTACAACTTAATCTATTAAGACCAAATGGCTGTGGCTACTGGGACTGCCTAGGTCTGGATGTCTTCCATCTTTACTCCTGGAATACACTTCCCCATTGTTAGCCTTGTGAGATAGTCCAGTCAAGAAGTACAAGCAAGAGTATTAACTGTCTTTATTGTAAATTACATTAACAGAATCATGCAAGTCTGACAGTACCCCTCCTGTCCCTCACTTTTACTGACCCAAAAACTGGGGGGGGGGGCTTCTAAAATGCTTTTGTGATCCCTCCTCCTTTGAACTCAAATTTTGTTTATCAAACCAATGTCTAGGCTGTGACGCTTTCTCCCAAGGTCATTCCCACATATATTATACCCATTCAGAAATGGTATGCAATCTGGGGACCCTCTTGGACTCAGGCCTCCTGCTTAAAAAACAGGTAACAGCTGTGACCAGGAGGGCCTTTGCACAGTTCTGTCAGGTGCACCAGTTGCATTCTTTCCTTGATTGGACAGCCCTCCAGACACTCATACCCTCTTCATTTCACAGCTCCAATATTCCAATGTGCTGTAGACAGGGCTGCCCTTGAAGCTGCACTGGTCACCAATAATTAAATGTATTACCTTATATACTTGCATATAAGCCCATCCATGGATAAACCGACCCTTCAATGTATAAGCAAAATACTACGAAAAATGCAGCACCTGCAGATAAGCCAACCCTTGAAAATTTTGTATGTTTTAATTTTCACAAATGGCTTACCCATGGGCAATCCATGGATTATCCATTTTTCATGGTATTTTGGTTAAAAATTCGAAGGTCAGCTTATCCACAGATGGGCTTATATGTGAATATATCTGGGACATATAGGTACTTCAAAAAAGTAATACCATATATCAGTGCTTCCCAAACCTGGGTAAATTACTCAAATTGGGTGAAAGTGGTTTTTCTTTGGGTAACGACACACAAACCCATTCACAACAGGGACATTTAAACTGACTAAAAGATTGTCACATGTACTAAATATATTTGAAAATCTCCTATTAAGATGTAAATCAATGAAATTACCAATGGTAATTTGTTGAAATGACATAAAGATCATTCAAAAGTATTGTTTTAATAATACAGGTAGTCCTCAAGTTACATCGGTGCTAAAGGAAGGGACTTATGACTGGTCCTTGAAGTTCCAGCCATTGCAGCATCCCTGCAGTCACGTGAACAAAATTCGGGCACTTGGCAACCATCTTACACTTACGACCAGTTGCAGAGTCCCGTGGTCACATGATCACCATTTGAAACTTTCCCTGCTGCTTCCCACAAGCAAAGTCAATGGGGAAACCAGCAGGGGAGGTCACCAAGTCACTCAAGAAAGTCTCCCCCACCCACTCTGGCCTTTCTTCACTCAAATGCATGCACTGCGCCCTCCTTCCCCCCTTCACTTGCACATACTGCACCCTCCTTCTCCCCTTCGCTCGCTCACACCCACACCATCCTCCCCCCTTCACTTGCTCACATGCACACACCCACCAGTACCCTCCTTCCCGCCTGAGTTTTGGGTAATGAAGGAAAAGGTTTGGGAAGTACTGTCATATATACTCGCAAATAAGTCCATTTGTAGATAAGACAAACCCAATTTTGGGGGTGTATTTTGGCGCCTAAAATTCTCGGCTTACCCATGAGTATATCTGGTAGTCATATATACTGTAATCTAATTAAGGACTCTCAGCAATTCATAGATATAGACATACACAATTAAAACTTCAATGGTAAAAAATTTTAAAAAGTAGAAAAACAACAATAAAATAACAATAAACTGCATCAGTCCCAAATTTTCTATGAAAGGACTCTGTTTTAAGCTCTTTGCCAAAGAGAGGAAGCAGCCAATTTAATTTAAATTGGGAAGCTGGTCCAAAGCCCTGGCGCTACCACTGAGAACCAAAAGTGCCTCTTGGACTCAGTACCTTTCACCTCCCAAAAGTTGGGAACTACAGACTGCTTCTCCCAGAAACACTATGTAAGTCAGGCCAACTCTACCTGGGGGAACGTTGTCTTGAAGATAACCTAGTGCCAAGCCATAGATGGCTTTATAAGTGAAAAACAGCACTTTAAACTGCACCCAGAAGCTTATTAGTGAGCCACTGCATTCTGGATCATTTGCACTTTCTAAATGGTTTTTAAAAGCAGCCCTGAGTATATTAGACTAATCCAGATAGGTAGTGATAAAAGCATAAGCCATGCAGCAAGGTCTTCCCTCCTTAGGTACAAACTCCAATTGGTGCACCAGCTGAAGCTGGGCAAGGACCCCAGACCATGGCCTCCACTTGCTGTTCAAGCAGGAGCCATGTGTACAAAAGGACCCTCAAGCCAATGATCTGCTTCTTCAGTGGTAGGAACCTCCCATCAAGAAAACATTGGACCACACTGAGAGCCCCAATGGAGAAACAGTAGCTCTGGTCTTGCTCAGGCTCTACTTTACTCATTTTTGTCCCATTCAGACCCATTCAACCTCCAGGCATCAAGACTTCAACAGAATCTTCAGCATGATCCAATGTAGAGATTTATGCTGGGTATCACCAGATGGTCAATACCGAAACCAGATTGATTATGTACTTTGCAGCCAAAGATGGAGAAGCTATATACAGTTAGCAAAAACAAGACCAGAGCTGACTGTGGCTCAGATCATGAGTTTTTATTGCAAAATTTAGGCTTAAATTGAAGAACGCAGGGAAAACCACTAGACCACTCAGGTATAACTTAAATCATATTCCTTGTGAGTACACAGTGAAGGTGATGAATAGATTTAGCTTAAATTGAAGAACGCAGGGAAAACCACTAGACCACTCAGGTATAACTTAAATCATATTCCTTGTGAGTACACAGTGAAGGTGATGAATAGATTTAGGGGATTAGATTTGGTAGACAGAGTGCCTGAAGAACTATGGATGAAGGTTCGTAACATTGTATTGTCGAAGGCTTTCATGGCCGGAATACGATGGCTGGTGTGGGTCTTCCGGGCTATGTGCCCGTGTTCTGGAAGTTCTGGAAACACAGAGATACTGGACAACACCAACAGCCACTATACCAGGCTATACTGGGAAGCCATTGAGATTCACAAACACCAGCACAGTTTCAATAAAA